TTTTGCCACTATTAATTGAAATTTTGGTCAGTGGTATAGACAGATTCACTTTAAAAGGCCTTTTTGAGTATCAGATAACAAGGACCTCCTGCAAATTATTGGGACAAGAAGGTCCTCATTCTTGCTAAAATAACTCCCTCAAGCACAGTGCAGATATTTTAACTGCGTACCCACTAGGCAAAACTGCCCCTGGCATTCCTCTCTCTTGGAGTGCTCTGTCTTGAGACCTTTTAGTTTGTCTGCAGAGCAATCTCTCTTTACTGGCCTGTTCCATAATATTTTTTTTGTGAGAACTGGCTTATTTTCACAGCCCTCACTGTGAGGTGCACCTACCTCCCTACCACTCCTATCCCTTAGGATGCGGAAGGGAGAGCTGTTTGACTATCTCACAGAGAAGGTGGCCCTCTCAGAAAAGGAAACCAGGTAATTGGCTGAGCCTGCAGACCCTGGGGTGAGCAGGGAGTGGGGTGGGGCAGGGAGAAGCAGAGGAGACTGCCCCTCCCCTAGGTCCATCATGAGGTCTCTGCTGGAAGCAGTGAGTTTTCTCCATGCCAACAACATTGTGCACCGAGATCTGAAGCCCGAGAATATTCTCCTAGATGACAACATGCAGATCCGGCTTTCAGATTTTGGGTTCTCCTGCCACTTGGAACCTGGCGAGAAGCTTCGAGGTGAGGGGACCTGGTGCCCTAAGAGGCTTGAGAGGGAAGGAGACCCAGACCTGAGGCTGCCTGGCTGGATCTGAGAACTGAGCCCCAGGTATCAAGCAAAGATAAGTCAGTAAATACCTGCCAAGTACCCTTTGGGTGCAAAGCCTCGTGTGCAGCTCAGAATGGGTTTCCTGATGCGGGGAGGATGGAGACTGGCAAGTGAGCAGATAAGTGCTGCGCAGCAGGGTCTAGGGGCCATGTGGGGGAAGCCGGGAGAAAGGAGCACCTGATTTAGCCAGAGGGACCTACAGAGCAGGAGCCTGGAGATGGGCCTTAGGAGGCTGGGCTTGACCCAGGAGGAAAAAGAGGGAGAGGGTGATAGCAGGACTTAGCTGCAAATTTGGGGTCTGGCAGAGACAGGAAGGACCACAGTGTGTGGCTTAGGTGCTATGAGGAACCACGTATGGCCAGACACTTCTTACCTGGTACCCTGGGACTCAGGCTCACCCAGTATTAATAATTCTGGTGCAAATGGAAAACTAAACAAAGTTTAATTGCAAGACTCCTCACGGCTTTTTTTTTTTTTTTTTTTATCCTCACCCGAGGATATTTTTCCATTTTTTGTACAGATAGAGTGGAAGGGAGAGAGAGAGAGAGGAACATCGACGTGAAGGGACACATTGAGTGGCTGCCACCCGCACGACCAACCAGTGCCGGGGACAAACTGCAACCGAAGTACGTGCCCTTAGCGGGAACCGAACCCGGGTCTCTCCGGACCACAGGCCGACGCTCTAACCGCTGAGCCAAACTGGCCAGGGCCTCCTCACGGCTTTTTAAAAAATATGTTTTTATTGATATTTTTTAGAGAGAGGAAGGGAGAGAGAGAGAAACATCAATCGGCTGCCTCATGCACGCCCCATACTGGGGATCAAGCCTGCAACCCTGGCATGTGCCCTCACCAGGAATCCAACCAGGACCTCTCAGTCCATGGGATGACGCTCAATCCACTGAGCCACACTGGCCAGGCTCCTCAGAGCTTTTAACGTTATTTTCTCTCCCTCAGTGGATTTGCACTAAATTTATTAATAGCTAACATTTACTGGGTACTTACCGTGTGAGCTAGGCTCCATGCTGAGTCTTCACATGGCTTATTTCTCTAGATCATTGGTTCTCAACCTTCCTAATGCCACAACCCTTTAATACAGTTCCTCATGTTGTGGTGACCCCCAACCATAAAATTATTTTCGTTGCTACTTCATAACTGTAATTTTGCTACTGTTATGAATTGCCATCGGAATTATGTGTTTTCTGAAGGTCTTAGGCCACCCCGTGAAAGGGTCGTTCGCCCTCCAAAGGGGTTGCGACCCACAGGTTGAGAACTGCTGCTCTAGATCCTCCCCAAAACTTTTTGATTATTAAAAATTTTTAATGTTGAGCCCTGGCCGGTTTGGCTCAGCGGTTAGAGCGTTGGCCTGCGGTCTGGAGAGACTCGGTTTCGGTTCCCGCTAAGGGCATGTACCTCGGTTGCGGTTTGTCCCCGGCCCTGGTTGGGCCGTGTGGGAGGCAGCCACTCGATGTTTCCCTTTCACGTCGATGTTTCTCTCTCTTTCTCCCTCCCACTCTATCTGAACAAAATGTCAAAAAATGTTCTCGGGTGAGGACTAAAAAAAAAAAATTTTAATGTTGACATTATTGGTGTCCCCCTTCCCCCACTCTCCACAACCCTTTGAGATAGATTTGTGTTCCGTTTTATAGATGTTGTGACTTGCCCAAGATCCTATAGCTGGCATTTGAACTTGGGCAGTCTGACTCAAACTCATGCTGTTAATCTGTAGACTTACATGTCTTACAGATGTTGTGCTTTGTTTTCCACATATACTTTTCCCCACTCTGGAATCACTTTTGCCCTTCCCACTCCACTCTCTCCCTTGGCTGGGTAATTCAGGTTTCACTTGAAAGTTCTAGGACAGGTTAGATCCCTTGCTTTTTGTTCTTTACTCCCTTCATGGCACCAGTCTTCCTCTGTTATTTCTCATTTGCTTTCTGGTAGACATTGAATTTGGTAAGAGCACACATCTAATTCAACCCTGTGTTTGGTGTGGAACTTAGTATATGGTAGGCAATAAACACTTGGTTTAGGACTGAATCTTCTGAGAGTCATTTCCAGTTTAGGCCTATTAAGCTCTAGAAGTGTGCCATGGATTACAGTTTGGAAATTTCTGGGATGTTAGAATTGGTGCCTGAAGTGGTACAAACTAAAAATGCAGGCTTGGATCAAGTCATGAAGGGCTCTGTGCTGTAAGAGTAGACTTGATCCTGAGGACATAATGGGGAGCCAGGAAGGGGTTTTCAACAAAGGACTTACCGCCCTGGTGGGTTTGGCTCAGCGGTTAGATTGTTGGCCCTCAGACCAATGAGTCGAGGGTTCAATTCCGGTCAAGGGCACATGCCTTAGTTGCAGTTAGTCCCCGGCCCTGGTCAGGGTCTTGTGGGAGGCAACCAGTCGATGTGTCTCTCTCACATTGATATTTCTCTCCCTCCCTCCCTCCCACTCTATCAGAAGATAAACAGAAAAATATCCTCAGGTGAGGATTAAAAAGAAAAGAAAAAAACAAAGGACTTACCCAGTACGTGCTTGAAGAAATCCCATACTCCCACTCATTCCCCTTGGTTTGAGTGGTGGTTCTAACCAGAGTAGAGATTATAGGAAGAATAGATTTGGGCAGAAAGGAATGTAGAAGTTTTGTTTTCCATGTGTTATGCATGTACAAATGTTGTGACACGTGTGAGGAGTGGGTGGGTTGGCTTGGCCAAAGGGTTGGAGGCAAGTGATACAGTTGGGTAGGACCTTGAAGTCAATCCGAAAATCAGCTTTTCCCTGATTTTTCCCAAGGCCATCAGGAGCCTTGGTGGTATTTGAGTTGGTCAGCAGGGTCAGGATCTAATATTGAGACTTAGCAGAGGCAGATGGGCAGAATGGGAACACTTGTGGTCCTGGCAGTGTTGAGGCTCCAGCAGAAGGCTGGTGTTAAGGACCCACAAGGGGGCTGGTGGCATCGCATCCATCTCAGCCCTCTCTTCCCAGATTTGTGTGGGACCCCAGGATATCTAGCACCAGAGATCCTTAAATGCTCCATGGATGAAACCCACCCGGGCTATGGCAAGGAGGTTGACCTGTGAGTTTGTGGTATCCTCTGTGTTCTTCCTGTGTACTGTCTTTCAATACATTTGCCTGGCACCTAGTCCTGCCTGACTTTGGTCTTTTCCCCAGATGGGCCTGTGGGGTGATCTTGTTCACACTCCTGGCTGGCTCACCACCATTCTGGCACCGGCGTCAGATCCTGATGTTACGTATGATCATGGAAGGCCAGTACCAGTTTAATTCACCTGAGTGGGACGACCGTTCAAACACCGTCAAAGACCTGGTGAGCTAGGGCCATGAGGATGCAAGGTGGGAGGCCCAAGAGCTGCCCCTCATGCTCTGTAGTTCCCCTAGATTTCAAGGCTGCTGCAGGTAGATCCTGAGGAACGCCTGACAGCTCAGCAAGCCCTACAGCATCCCTTCTTTGAGCGTTGTGAAGGCAGCCAACGCTGGAACCTCACCCCCCGACAGCGGTTCAGGGTAAGCCTGAGTGTGTCAGGTCTGGGGCTGCCCATCTGTCTTATGTGGCAGATGTTACACTGGAGCTCACACTCCCCTCCCCTTTCCCAGGTGGCAGTGTGGACAGTGTTGGCTGCTGGACGAGTGGCCTTAAGCATCCACCATGCACGGCCACTGACCAAGAGTGCACTGTTGAGGGACCCCTACGCACTGCGGCCAGTGCGGCGTCTCATCGACAGCTGTGCCTTTCGGCTCTATGGGCACTGGGTGAAGAAAGGCGAGCAGCAGAACCGGGCGGCCCTCTTCCAGCACCGGCCCCCGGGGCCTTGTCCTATCATGTGCCCTGAAGAGGAGGGGGACTCGGCTGCTATCACCGAGGATGAGTCCATGCTGGTGTTGGGCTAGCACCTTAGCCCTGGGGAATCCTAGAAAGCAGGACTCTCCATAAGGAAGATTTTTGTCATTCCATCCCCTCTGGCCTCTGGCCTCAGGCCCCACTGCCTGGCCAGGCCCACCACTCATCATACTATCATGAAGACCAGCCCTGAACACCTACCCCCGCTGGCCAGGGCTTTGAGATCAGAGCTAAGGTGGAAGGGAGCTACTTAGAATGCCACGTCTGGCCTTGTCAGTGCTGTCTGTGCTGTGTATGCAATAAAATCACACCAGGGAGAGCCAGTGCCCTATGTCTGGTGTCTGGCTTTGGCAGGGAAACCCAGAAGTTGCTCAGGATTGGGGGGGGTGTGTGTGGATGGGGCCACTCTGGCCCAGGCCTTTATTGGAGAAAACAGGGCATCACTTGGTCTTACTCTTGCCTTTGCCTGGAGGTAGTTGGAAGGGCCGCTCTAGTGCAGTCAACTTGCTGCTGAGCCTTTCCTCACTGGCCTTGAGCTGCTCCTCCACCAGCTGTTGGAGCTGTTCCAGCTCCTTGTTCAGCTGGGTCTTGATGTAGGCTCGAAGGATGGAGACCTGGCCTGCAGGGACAGGAAAGAAGGGGCAGGTCAGGAGAGATGCTGCTTGGGACTGAAAGACTGTCCCCACCTCGGCAAACAATTCCCAAGGTGTCCCTGGGGCACACACAGGTAGCAATGTTGCTTCAGTTCAGGAAATGTCAGCTAGCCCTTCTGTGAGAGAGAGGCGGGCAGAATGGCTATGCCAGACTTTCTAGATTGCTACTTAGTAGCTTTGTGAACTTGGGCAGGTGATTTAACCTTTCCATTGCCTCAGGTTTCCTCCAATGTAAGATGTGGATAGTGATAGCACCTAGCATCTAGAACTGAGGGAGGATTAAATGTGTTAATCTACATAAAATGCTTAAAATAGGGGTTGCCTGGCACACAGGATTATCAAATATGTGATGGCTGTTATTGTCATCCGTTTTATAATTATCCTTTTCTGGAGCTCCTGCCTCACCCTGAGCAGCTGTGTTTTTATCTGTTTGTCATCTTGGACTTCTGTGTGTGGAATCACTTGGAGAAAGGACACCGTGACCAAAAAAGTCTGAAGTCCTGGTGTGGTCTAAACCCTTCATTTTACACCTGCACAAAGTCACAAGGAACCCTAATCCCTCCAGGTCCTCACTTGGCTCTTGCTGTGGCTCAACCACTGTTTCTGGTTCCTCCTCCTGTAGGGTGACTGCCTGCTCTTCCACTTCCTCGCTGCCTTCTTTCTCTGCAAGCCAGAAGCAGGAAGAGGTGTCAGCCCAAGCCCAGCCCAGCCCCAGCCCAGCCCTGACATTCTCCCTTACCTATCTCATCCTCTGGCCAGAGCTTGGGTGACTGTAGCCCCACATAAGTCAAAGATAGATCCAGTCGCACCTGGGAAGAGGAAGAGGTCAGCTGAGAGGGACACCTGCACTGAGGGGAAGGGGGAGATGGGTGGTCTTTTGTAGCCCATGGTCCAATACCTGGGGTGTAAAGACGTATTTGTAGAGCTTGAAGTGGCGGAAGTAGGTATTGACCACATAATCAGCCAGGGCCAGCAGCTGTTCCTCCTTAAAAAGGTTAATACTAAAAGGAGGCCGCTGTGGGGGTGATTGGGAGGTAGAGAATAGGGAGTTAGACCACCTCCTAAATCTCTGTACCTTTCTCCCAGTGCCCAGTAGTCCAGGAGCAGGGAGAGCCCACTGTGGCCTTCAGAGGAAGAAGAGGGTGATGAGTGTGAGAGAATAGGATATTGGGCTAGGCCTTGTCTGGGGAAGAGGGAAGACCCCGTTCAGAACTGACCCTGACTCCATGGCAAAAAAGGACACTGGTGAAGTAGCGGTAACATTCCTCCACATTGCCCAAGGGGGTTGCTGTGAGGGAAAACAAGATATTCCAGTGAGTCACTTCTCTGATAATCATTCATTTCACTCAACAGCTACTTATTGAGCATGAGCTTTAGAAGTGGACAGATCTAGGTTTAAACACTTAAGTACCAGCTATGATGTTCAGGGCACTGAACCAGATAAACAAGGCCCTGCCCTTAAGAGGCTGACATGTTAGTGGAAGTAACATACAATAAACCAGGAAATACATGATTTTAGCTCTTGTTAAAAATTCTGAAGAAAACCAATCCTGGGAATAAAGGAGGGAAAGCAAGAACTATTTTTACTGAGCACCGTACATATATATATATATATTACATCAGAACAGTACAGATAAAGAAATGGAGGATTTCATAGGTGAAGTAAGTGTGTTGTTAACACTGCTAGTAATGACAACAGATTCCAGGTGGTAATCTCCAGATTTCTACTTCCCATGATTAGTTGTGCCCATCCAGCCTCCTCTTTCCTGGGCTCAAATCTTCCCGTAGCCACCTCTTACCAACACAGGCCTTGTGAAGATCTTGAAGCAGGGCGTAAGCTGTTGATGTCTGCTCCACTGAGAAGCCCTGCTGGGCACAGAAGATGAGTACATGGGAGAAGAGATCCAGGGTAATGGCATCCCGTGGGCTCTGCTCAGGATAGCCTAACCCCAATAGGTTGGCCAGCACCCTTGTGAGAGAGAGATAGGGAGTGAGTGACAATGGAAGCCTCCCTTCACTACCCCACACTAGGCATTCCTCATGCCTTCCCAGTAAACTCTCAGCCTTTCTCATCTTCCCTTCCCTGCTTCGCCCCCACCATACTCCCTCATCTCCTCATTGTTGGCTGTCTTCTCCAGCCTGTGCATGGAATGGATGTCCAGGTACTTCCTGTCATAGGAAGAGAGGAAAAAAGGTGTTGGTTCCATTATACATTAGTCTCATGGCAGGGCTAGAGCACTGGACCCGGAACCAGGAGACCTGAGTTTGAAGTTCCACCCTTCCACTAAGTATAACCTTAGGCAAGCCACTTCCCTGTTGGGTCTCACCTTTTCCATCTGTAAATATCAGTATGGTCTAAATGGATTATGGTTCTTTTCATTATAAAGCCTGTGGTTAGGAAACTTGAGTTCTTGTCTCTGCTCTGTCACTCCCTTACTGTATGACCTTGAGCAAGTACCCCCGTGGGCCTCAGTGTCCCCATTTGCACAGTGTTCCATGGCAGCTGTGATATTCCATTTATCCCAGTCTTTAGCTCCCTTCTTCCCACACCTGCTCTTTGGACTGCAGGGGCAGGACAGCCTGCTTCTAGTCACCTTGGGTAACCATCTCTGGGCCTCAGTCTCCTCGTCTGTAAAATGAGGATGCCCTGGCTGGTTTTTGTTTGTTTTTCCCCCTGCCCTGGCTGTTTGACAGGACTGTTGGGGAGGCACGCAGTGGTTCTCAACTTTCCTAATGCTGTTACCTTTTAATACAGTTCCTCGTGTTGTGGTGACCCCCAGCCATAAAATTATTTTCATTGCTACTTCATAACTGTATAATTTTGCTAGTTATGTCTTAGGCGACCCCTGTGAAAAGGTCATTCGACCCCCCCCAAAGGAGTCGCGACCCCTCCCCCCCCCCAGTTGAGAACCGCTATAAGGGAATCATGCAAGAGTGAAATGTAACTTTTCCCAAGGTTTTTACACTCACCACATGCAGATCCGAGGCTGGGGCAGTGGCGGCTGCGGAGAGAAAGCAGATTTGAACAAGGCGCTCGTCCCTGATCCGCGGCGAATCTCTAGCGGATCTGAGAACTCGTTAACTTGATTTCTCGTCTTAGGACTAACTATGAACGAACAACGCGGGCGAGCTGGGCTTCAGCTTGTCTAAGTACTACTATTAATGAGCATATTAACAATTGGGGTCACACACTCCCCTCTTCACGAAACGTCTTAAACATCAGTAAACATAACAATGGGTGGCGCCCAGCCGGGACCCCTTTTATAAACATTTATGAACGAACCACACTTTCGCCCTCACCGGGAACAAGTTGGCTGCAGGATCATCCTCTTCCACAGAGGCCGCGGTGCCGGACTCGGTCCGCACACCTGTTCCCGTATGCGTGGCTTGTTTATCCACTGAGCTGATGTTCTTGGGGTCCCGCCGCAGTTCGGAGGGTTGCTGAAGCTCCGGCTGCATTCTCAGTCCCTGGAATTGGCCGGACTTCCGACGGATCATCTTGTCGCTCCTCCGTGTCACGCGTCACTGCAGGCTCTATCCTGCTTCTGTTCTGGGGCCACTGGTTCTTCTTCACAGGCCTTGGAAGTGCCTGACCCTCTATTCACCTTCAGCCAATCTACCCTGCGGTGAGGTCTGGTGCAGCCAAACCGCAGGGGGCGTCTCCTTCGGTCTCAACCCCGACAGTTGCTAAGACAGCTCCGGGAAAAAAAAGAGAAAGTGTAATGCGCTCGCCAATCAGGGAGGAGAAAATGCACAAGCGTAATAAATTGCAAAGTGCGCCCCTTGCCTCTCCGAAGTTAAGAGGCAAGCGACTGCGTTAGGGCGTGGGCGTGGGCGTCGGCGTGGGAGAGTGGTGTCAGTTACCATGGGAACTGTCTACTGGCCAATCACTGAGAGAAAGTGGAAGTGTTCAGGAAGAAACCAACGAGGACCCGAGAGGAGGGACAAAGCGCGACCAATAGAAACAGGAAATGCGCTTCCACCACATCCGGCACTGCCTCTGGCGCCTGCGCTCTGTGCTGGGGAGGCCGGTGATGTGCGGTGAAGTCCAAGATGGCGGCGCTGGGCTGATCCTCCCGCCGGTGAGGGGCCCGGCACCGGTGTGGGCGGGATGCAGCAGGTGTGTGCGGGGGAGTGGTGGTGGTTGGGGCTGCGGAGCACCAGTCGCGTCCACAGCTATGTTCTCCGTCTTCTGCAGGTGACACAAGTGCCGCCGCCTCCTGCCTGACATCCCTGGGGAGACCCAGCGCCGCTCCTTGCCGCCGCGGCCATGTCTGGGCCCGGCAACAAACGCGCCGCGGGCGACGGGGGCTCGGGGCCCCCAGAGAAGTTGAGCCGCGAGGAGAAGACCACAACCACGCTTATAGAGCCCATTCGTCTTGGGGGCATCTCTTCCACGGTTCGTGGGCTCCTGTTCCAGCCCTCACAACTTCACAGATTCCCAACTCTGTTCTCTGCCCAAATCGTCCAGAACCTAATGACAAGTTCCCTAACTTTAGCAGGATCTACTTTACAGAATACTCTGTTGAAAGAAACTGAGAACAGGACATCTACTTTCCCTTTACAGATAGGAAAACAGGCTCCCAGAAGGGTTAGAAAGACACCGAAGCAAACCCTTCTCACAACCAAAACACTTTCTGTGGGTGTCTGAGCCTCTTTAACCCTGTTAAGTTTGTTTGGGGATACTCTCCTCTTCCACCCATTCCATTTGCTTTCCTCTGTCTCCCTCTGTGATTGGTATCTGGGGCCATTTTACTTTCTCCTTGGCTCCTTTATTTCCTTGGTAGGAGGAGATGGATCTGAAGGTTTTGCAGTTTAAGAATAAGAAACTGGCAGAGCGGTTGGAACAACGGCAGGCTTGTGAAGATGAACTCCGAGAACGAATTGAGAAGCTGGAGAAGCGGCAGGCCACTGATGATGCCACACTCCTCATTGTCAATCGCTACTGGGCCCAGGTGGGTGCCCATCTACTTTCCAAGACCTGGCCTTGATCCAGTTCCAATTCTCAGACTTCTCTGCTGGGAAGCACCTGAAGGATTCATAACATTTTTGGTGCTTTCTCCCTTCAGCTGGATGAAACTGTGGAAGTCCTTCTCCGACACCATGAGAACCAGGGGGAACTGTCTTCAGGAACAGAGGCGCCTGGGAACCAGGAGGGACCGACACGTGATGAAACCCCTCTCACAGAGCCAGGGACATCGGAACTGAGGGGTAGGGCCAGAGCCCTAGGATCTGAGGATCCTAATTAAGTTCTGGGAACAGTTATGGAGAAGAAGGGACTTTGATATTAGGCTCCTGGATTCCCAGCCTCCCCTTTCACACATGCACACAACATTGATTTCATGTTTGGGCAGCATAGTACAGTGGGTAAAAACAGGCTTTGGAGTCTGAGCAACTTGGTTCATGGTGTTTTTTATGTTTTGACATTCGTTTAGTACAAAAAAGTATTAACATTAAGTGTTGATTATGTGTCTGGCATTGATCTAGGCTCACAAGAGACATAGATAAGCAAAGAGAAATACTGTCCCTGCCATTAGAGGAAGTGATTATAAACCATAAGTTAAAAGGATAGGGACCCCTGAACGGGAATTAGTGTGTGTGCACTTGTGCGTGGTTCTATTTTATTTATTGATTTTAGAGAGAGAGAAACTTCGATTTGTTGTTCTACTTATTTATGCATTCATTGGTTGATTCTTGTATGTGCTGTGATAAGGGATTGAACCCACAATCTTGGCATATCAGGATGATGCTCTAACCAACTGAGTTGCCCAGCCAGGGCCTGGTGTGGGTTCTAATTTGAGAAGGCTTACCTGGGGAAGTGATTGGGAGCTTTGTGGCCTTGAGGAAATTACCTCTCAAATCTCAGTTGTTTTGATTTCAAGATGGGGATAACAGTATACTACAGTTGTCAGTTGTATTGATTCAGTGAGCCATAGAGTGTTAAGGAGCTCAGTCTGGAACTTGGTGCAGAGCTGTGGTAACTGTTTAACTGCTGTTGTGTTATACTCATGAGTGACTGTCCATCCGTCTCAGAGATCCTGCCAGTGCAGCTGCGGCCCCCACTTAGTGAGCCAGCCTTGGCTTTTGTGGTGGCACTGGGCGCCAGCAGTAGTGAGGAGGTGGAGCTACAGCTGCAGGGCCGAATGGAGTTCTCCAAGGCAGCCGTGTCCCGTGTCGTCGAGGCCTCAGACCGCCTACAGCGCCAGGTGGAGGAACTCTGTCAACGAGTATACAGCCGAGGTTAGTGTTTTGTGCCACCACCTTAGATGTATCCATACTAGTTTGCATCTTTCTGATATCCCTTCCTCAATGCCTCTAGCCCAAAGGCAGCCAGAATTCTCCAAGAAATAAATCAGCCATGTTCTCATGGAAAGGGTTAAGTTGTAGATGGGGAATCCAGCTTTGATTTTTGTAGTTGAACTCTAAATTAGAGATGGGTGAGAGGAGTTGTTGATTCTGGCGGGGCACCCCCTTTTGACTGGATATCTTTTTTTGGAGCAATTTGCACAAATCTTAGTGGCAGTTGCTGATCCATAAGACATAGCAACAAAAGCCCAGGCTTTGTAGGCACACAGGCTTCTCCCAGCCTTAGTTCTGTCACTCCAGCCTTGGCATTCTGGGCAAATGGCTCTCCTCTCTGAGCTGGTTTCCTCTTTTGTACAGTGGGGATAAAGACTCCTGGCTTTGTCATTGTGGATCACTCTGGGCACATAGCAGACTCCAGAATGAGTTAGTATTTTTCCCCATTGCCCTGGACTTGACTCTGACCCGAGCCCTGACTTCCCAGGGGACAGTGAGCCCCCTGGTGAGACAGCTCGGGCACATACCCGGGAGCTGGGCCGTGAGAACCGGCGACTTCAGGACTTGGCCACCCAGCTACAGGAGAAGCACCATCGTATCTCATTGGAGGTGGGAATTGCGTTTTTGGGGGTGGGATTAGACCCAGGGTACGGTTTAGGTTAGGTGGACACCCAAGGATCACAAGGAACCAAGACTCTTCATCTAAGTATCTGCACTCTTCATTGTTCTTAGTACTCTGAGCTCCAGGATAAAGTGACATCAGCAGAGACCAAAGTCCTAGAGATGGAGACAACAGTAGAGGACCTGCAGTGGGACATTGAGAAGCTGCGCAAGCGTGAGCAAAAGCTCAATAAACACCTGGCAGAGGCCTTGGAGCAGGTGGGACTAGGGTGCTGTGTTAGATGGAGGCAGGGCTGGGTACTTAGAGTTTTAGATTCTTTCTTCCACACTCATTTATTTATCTTTTCTCTCCACAGCTCAACTCTGGCTACTATGTATCTGGGAGCTCCTCAGGCTTCCAGGGGGGCCAGATCACACTTAGCATGCAGAAGGTGAGCAGGCATCATTCTTCCTAGTCCCTCCCATAAAATTTTCTCTGCTCTTGAAATTCCCCACAGAATTATGGTCTCTGAGGCCCTTACCTGTCACTCATGCTGTTCTTTGTCATATTCACAAGTATGTTCAGTAGGTAATTGCTAAACATTAATTGCTAGGTACTGTGCTAGGAATCAGGCATATTGGAGAACAAAATAGACAAAAGTCAGAGCTTTCATGGAGCTCAGGTTCTAGTTGGAATCACTGAAAAAAAGTAAGTAAAATACTGTATCACTTTGTTATAAGTGCCACAAAGAAAAAGCATAGGCAATAGATAAATGGAAGTGTTGGAGGCGTTTGGAATTATTACTTGGATGGCTGAAGAAGTGCCTTGCTGAGACATACATTTAATCACTGTCTCCTTCCTCATTCTACCTTTGCTCTTTCAACTCTTAGTCATTATGCATTTTCTTGGTGTTGCGGGGATCATTATGCCATTTCCCTTTCCTTCAGCTTGCTCTCCAGGGCTTCCAGGAAGACTTCTCTCACTTCCTGTCAGTTACAAGCCTTGGTTCCCAGCATTGACCATGCAGTATGGAGTTTTCTTCCATTTGCCTGGGAGATCTTAGGAAAGTGCTTGGGTCTGGCTTGTCCTGGGGGCTTCAGGATACATCATTGCTACACATAAAAGAGCTTGAATGGGGTTTATGTGAGGGAAACATGCCTCCTGGCCTGTCCCTGACTCTCACAGCCCTTCCCATTCCACAGTTTGAAATGCTGAATGCAGAGTTAGAGGAAAACCAGGAATTGGCCAATAGCCGCATGGCAGAGCTGGAGAAGCTACAGGCTGAACTTCAGGGGGCTGTGCGGACCAATGAGCGCCTCAAGGTGAGCTGTGTTTGGGGCTGGGAGGGCCTAAGACTTCAAGGTTAAGGCTGAGCCCTGAATCCTTTCACTGATCACTTTTGGGCATCCCTGCCTTTAGGTAGCCCTACGGAGCCTTCCTGAAGAGGTGGTACGGGAGACAGGGGAGTACCGAATGCTGCAGGCCCAGTTCTCACTGCTTTACAATGAATCTCTGCAAGTGAAGACCCAGCTGGATGAGGCCCGGGGGCTGCTGCTGGCTACCAAGAACTCCCACCTGAGACATATTGAGCACATGGAGGTATGGCCCTGGAACAGGGATGGGGGTTGGGGGTAAGGGCCAGACCCTGAGGGTCATGGCATTCCTGGGTCAAGCTCCTGTATGCCTGCCAGGAGTCCCTTAGGAATAAATTATTATTAAGCCACTGAGGCCTCAGGTGGGGGTCTTGCCAGGGGTCAAAGGGGTTGTGTGGATCCTTAATAACTTGACCCACAGAGCGATGAGTTGGGGCTGCAGAAGAAGCTGCGCACAGAGGTTATCCAGCTGGAGGACACGCTGGCCCAGGTACGCAAGGAGTACGAGATGCTGCGCATCGAGTTTGAACAGA